ATCTGCCCTATAGATCCTGCCCTATCGATCCTGCCTCTTATATATCTGCCCTATAGAACCTGCCCTATTGATCCTGTCCCTTATATCTGCCCTATGGATCCCGCCCCATAGATCCTGCCCCTTATATCTGTCCTATAGATCCTGCCCTATCGATCCTGCCCCTTATATCTGCCCTATAGAACCTGCCCTATTGATACTGCCCCTTATATCTGCCCTATAGATCCTGCCCCATAGATCCTGCCCTTTAGATCTGACCCATAGATCTGGCCCCACAGATCTTCCAGGTGAACGTGACCGCAGCAGCCATGTTGATCCGCCTCGTGGTGCCCCACATGGAGAAAAGGGGGTGAGGGGGGTGGGGCTTGGGGAGGAGGGGTTGGGGTCAAGCCTTGGCCACGCCCACCCCACTGTGGCTCCTCCCTCATCCCCCCAGGGGAGGCTCCATTGTGGTGGTGTCCTCGCTGGCCGGGTACATGCCCTTCCCGGTGAGCTGTGGGGAGCTATGGGGCTGGCTATGGGGTGTCTATGGGGGGGGCTATGGGGTGGTGATGGAGCAGGCTATGGGGTGAGATCTATGGGGTTGGACCCATGACATGTGGCCTATCAGTGGGATCCATGGGGCAGGATTTATGGGGCTGGCTATGGGGGGGGCATGGGGTGTCTATGGGGAGGGCTATAGGGCGGTGATGGAGCAGGCTATGGGGTGTGTATGGGGTGAGATATATGGGGTTGGACCCACGGCACAGGCCCCAATGAGTGGGATCCATGGGGCAGGATCTATGGGGCAGGACCTATGGGGCGGGCTCCATCCGTGCTGCATCCCATGGCTGCGCCATGGCTCAGCCATGCTGTCAGCCGATTGGCCGCAGCGCTGAGCAGCTGCCAGCTGATTGGCCGCGGCTCAGTGACGTCGCTGTGGGACAGGCGCTTGGGCCCTATAGCGTGAGCAAGGCGGCGCTGCTGGGGCTGGTGAAGGCGCTGGGCCCGGAGCTGCGGCCCCACGGCATCCGCATCAATGGGGTGGCCCCAGGGCTGATCCGCACCCGCTTCAGCAGGGCCGTGAGTGACCTGGGGGGCACTATGGGGGGATATGGGGTGTCTATGGGGTGTCTGTTGGTCTCGTTTCTATGGGGTCTCTATGGGTTTCTGTGGGGTCTCTATGGGTCCCAATGGGTCTCTATGGGGTCTGTATGGGTCTCTGTGGGTTTCTGTGGGTCTCCATGGGTCCCTATGGGGTCTGTATGGGTCTCTATGGGTTTCTATGGCTCTCTATGGGGTCCCTATGGGTCTCTATGGGATCTCTATGGGTCTCTATGGCAGCTCTGGGAGGACGAGTCCATGCAGAAGCGCGTGATGGCAGCCATGGGCATCGACAGGTGGGTGCCATCACATGACCCTCTCTCTCCCCCGTCACATGACACACACACACACACCCCCCACCTCCCCCTCATCACGTGACCCCCGCAGGCTGGGCTCCCCGGAGGACGTGGCCGGGATTGTGACCTTCCTGTGTTCTCCCGCCGCCGCTTACATCACCGGGGAGACCGTGGTGGTGGCGGGCGGCGCGGCCTCCCGCCTCTAAGGGGCGCTGCAGGGCTGTTGCGGCCGCTCTGTGGCCTCTATGGCGCTTTGAATATGCAAATGAGATGCAGCTGAGTTTTACATGGGGGGGTCAACGCGGGGAGCAAGATGGCGGCCTCCACCGGGGGCGGCCATATTGGGGATGTGCGCATTGGGGGCTGGACTGGGTCAGCAACGTGGCGGCAGCCATCTTGGATGGGCCGCGCTCCCTTATAAATGTTAATGACGGGTTTGGGTATGCAAATGAGATGCAAATGTGTTTTAATGTGGGGCTCAGCGCCGTCAATGGAAACCTATAGGGGAAACAAAGGGGGGTGTCAGTGACCCATAAGTGCTGCCTCTATGGGGCAGGCAGCCCCAGGGCATGTTGGGATGGGGTTAGGGTTAGGTCTCACCCTTCCTTCTCCTCTTCCCATTGGCTGCCTTCTTCCTCTTCTTGGCGGGCGGCACCTCCTGACTGGGTGGCTCCCAGAGGGTGGCTGAGGCCCCGAAGTGGGTGATGGCGGCCAAGGCTCCACCCCCCAATGACGTCACGCACTGATGGCGCTGCTGTGCAGCCTGGGCCTGGTGGCTCTCGCTCAGGTGCAGGAGCAGCGACTCCTCCAGGCGGGTCCTGACCCACACGGAGTCCCATAGGGACCCATGGAGACCCATAGAGACACATAGGAACTCAGACCCCATAGAGACCCCACAGAGACCCATAGGAACCCATAGACACCCATAGAGACCAATAAAGACCCCATAGAGCCCCACAGAGACCCATAGAAACCAGAGACCCATAGAGACCCACAGGGACCCATAGAGACGTATACAGACCCAACAGAGAGCCATTAGGACCCCACAGAGACCCATAGGGATCCCATGGACACCCATAGAGCCCCATAACGACTCCATAGTCCCACTGAGCCCCCATAGAGCCCCATAGTGACCCCAGACAACCCCACAGCGACCCCATAGGGACACAGACCACATCACGCCCCCCTAAGTGACCCCTAGAGACCCGTAAGTGGCCACCTCCTGCCCCACAAGTGCTCCCCCCCCACAGCCCCATAACTCCCCCCTCCAGCCCCATAGCGCCCTATAACCCCCCACCCCCAGCACCCACCTCTCCACATCGCCCCTGTGGGGCCGCTGGCCACCTGCCCTCTGGCTGCCCCACAGCTCCTGGGGGGCATCACTGAGCTTGTCCCGCAGCTCCCGCAGCACGGAGCTGCTGAGGGCCTGGTGCTGTGCCACCTCCTGCTTCCGCTGCTCCTGCCCCACGGAATCTATGGGGCGCAGGCACCTGTCAGCACCTTCATTGAGCTCTGTGGGGGCCAGGAGGTGTGGGGCAGGCCCTGGACTCACCGTACTGCATGGGGATGATGTGGGGCGGGACATAGCAGAGCCCGCCCCTAAGCCAGGCACCTTCAGTGGGGCTGCTTCAGGTTCCTATGGAGCAGAGGAGGCATGAGCTGCCCCATAGCGCACCCACAACCACCCCATAGCAGCCTGTGCTGCCCCACAGCTCACCTCGTCCAGGTTGTAGGGCTCCAGATGGAAGGCCAAGGGGTGCTCAGCTCCTATGGGGCAGTCACGTGTTATCTATGGGGTGGCAGAACCCTGTAGGGAGCACTTATGGGGCAAGGCTCACTTGGGGCCCCCATCATGGCCGCCCACAGCAGCTTCCCCACTTGGTACTTGAGGCGGTGCTCGATGAGGCGCAGCTTCTCCAGGACCTGTGGGGCAGCTCCATAGATCCCAGCCCCATAGCTCTGCCCCCCACACCCCTTATACCAACCCCATAGAGCCCCCAGCCACACAGATAGGCCCCCAGCCCCATAGACCCCCCCCCCAACCCCAATTGGAGCTCCCCTGCGGCCGCTATGGGGCAGCCCCCCAAACGTGGGGCAGCCCGACCTCACTACGCAGGTCTCCAGGAGGCGGGGCAGGGCCAGGAGCCCCCCCAGGGGCCCTCCCAGGCCTTGGCCACCAGCACCAGGCCCAGGTCCTGCAGGTACTGAACCAGCGCCTGCGCCCGCAGCTCCAGCAATGACAGCTCCTGTGGGGAGTGAGGGAAACCCCATAGAGGCCCCATAGGGACCCCATGGAGACTCCTAGAGAGCCCCACAGAGACCCCATAGAGCCCATGGAGATCCATAGAGCTCCCTAGAGTCCCATAGAGACCCCATAGAGAGCTCACAGAGACCACATAGAAACCCCACAGAGAGACCCAGAGACCCCATAGACCTACACAGAGCCCCATAAACACCCATAGCACCTCATACACACCCCATCTGACCCACATAATCCCTTTTATCATCTTCCATGACCCACATATACCCCCATAGAACCCCTGTAAGGCCCCACCAGCCCCATATAACCCACCCTAGGCACCCCATATCCCCCCATAGAACACAACAACCCCCCATAAGCCCTCCTCAGCCCCACATAACCCCCCCCCACAGGACCCGTGTAGCGCCCATATCCCCCTCCTAAGGCCCATATATTCTCTTCTTAGACCCCTATAGACCCCCACAGCACCCCCTTAACCCCCCTCCCCGCACCCTCATTGCCCCGCACAGTACCCCTTAAGACCCCCATATATCCCTATGGCCAACCCATATATCCCTAAAGCCAACCCATATCGCCCCATAGCACAACCATATCGCCCCATAGGACCCCCATATTGCCCCATAGCACCCCGAGAAGGGCAAATGTGGGTCTAGGGGTGCAAATGTGGGTCTAACGGGGATAAAGGAGGGCCTAAGGTGGGGGTAAATGTGGGTCTAAGAGGGGAAAATGGGGGTCTAAGGGGGGTAAATGTGGGTCTGAGGGGGGTAAATGTGGGTCTAAGGGGGTAAATGTGGGAGCAGAGCCTCCTCCACCACCATGCTCGCCAGCGCCATCTTGGAATGAAAAATGGCGGCGCCTCAGGTGTGGCCGTTACCACGGCAACGCAGGCGCAATGAGGGGTGAGGGCATGAGTCGGCAAGAGGGAGGGCCCGGGCTCAATATGGAGGAATGGCGGGTACACAATGGTGCCTCAACAATATGGCCGCCCCAGGTGCTGTACTTCAAGATGGTGCCTCACCAATATGGCCACTGCCACGTGCCATACTCAAGATGGCACCTGTTCAGTGGCCCCCAGCGGCACCCCACCAATATGGCCGCCCCCGTCTCCCACTTTCAACATGGCAGAGCAGAGCCGCACTCCCGATGGCGCAGGCAATGAAGTACTCCCGCCAAGATGCCTCCCGCCGCCTCCCCTTATGTCTCCTTCTCCTGCACCTCCCTCTTTGTGTCCCCCACGGCTGCCCTAGGGCGGCGGGCGGTGCAAGGCTGGAAGCGCCAGACCTGCGGGGCGGGAGGGAGGGAGGAGGAGGGAGAGCCCAAGATGGCACCGCTCTCACACCCCCACCCCCCCCTTCCCGGTGCTTTATGCCGTAAAAGTGATGCACTTCCCTCTTTTCCATTGCTTCGTGAGGTAAATGTGTTGGAATTCCCTCTTTCCCAGTACTTTCTAAGGCAAAAGTGAGGGAATATCGGCTTTTGCCGGAAGGGAACCGAGCGGAGCCGAAGCAGCCCAAAGCGAACGGAGCCGCCTGAAGGGAACCGAGGGGAGCTGCCCGAAAGGAACCAGGGCAGAGCCGAAGCTACCCGAAGGGGGCGGACCCGAACAACGGGAGCCAAGTGAAGCCGAAGCCACCCGAATGGGGCAGAGCAGCTCTGAGGGACCCGAGGGCGTCCCTGAGGAGCCGACACTTCCCATTGCCCTCCTATTACCCTCCATTGCCTCCCATTATCCCCCATTACTGGGCAAAGCTTGACATGGCATGGAACGGCACGGCTCGGCACTGCTCCGCACGGGGGAGAGCTGAGGAACCGGGGCACCAAGGGGGTCTGGGGCAGTTCGGCAGGGAAACGGGGGGAGTCGCAGTGGGGAGTTACTTGAAGTAGTTCTGCAAACCTAGTTTTAACAGTCCTTGCAAGGTCTGTATATATCAGGAGGTGATGGAATACTTTTTTTTTTTTCCTCACGCAGTGTGTAATATGCATGATTTTACTGAGCTACAACAAAGCTTTGAATTATTCTGATTTCACCATAAAAGAAGTTGTCCCATACATGCTGTCACAGGGTTGTCAGGGATGAAGGTCTTGTATGCACAGAAAATCTCTAACTATCAAAGCGATGACTGTTTGCTTAAGGAGTATGTGCAGCTACCCATGTGTTTGCGGTAGCGTGGCAAGTATCCTTTGGTACTTAAGTACTCCACAGCAGTAGAGCGGAGAGTCTCAAACCACTTCTTAAGGCTCCTGAGTTATGTAGAGCTCCTCAGTAATTCAGATAGGAAAAGAAGTCTGTCTTTCAAGGAACTGATTTTGGACTCAAATGTACTGTGTTATTTCTCCCATCTCTAAACCACCTGCAGTTCAGCTATGTTAGTTGCGTTAAATTCCTGCTCCTCTTTAAAAGGAAAGTAAGGGGGAGGCAAGGAATGATCGTCCAGTCATTACTGCCTTACTCCAGCGAGGTTCCACACACTTGGACTTTTAGGTGGGAAAGCAAAGAGTGAGAAGAGTGCCAGTGGCACTGCTACGGAGCTCACAATGTGCAGAAGAGTCCCAGCAGCAGCTTTCTGTCCTGGCTCTTCAGCTGTGGGAGCAGAGGTCGGATGTTCGTGCTGTGTGCACTGTGCTGCAGGATGGCCAGAAGCAGATGCTGGAGGGGTTGCACGTAGTTGGACTTTTCGGTGGGAAAGCGAGGAGCGACAGCAATGCTGGTGAGAGGCCGCAGGATATGTGCAATGGTGAGTAGGTGCAGCACTCTGCTGGCTGGGGATGGTAGGGCAGGGGACAGAACCTGCTCAGGGTGCTGCCATGCTTTGTCTTGCTCCAGGGAAATGCTTCAGGCTCAGTGGAAAATAGCAGAAGCATTTGGGGCATTCCTGAGCAGCAGATTCGCTGGTCCCAGCTGCTCCTCCTGGACAGGGAAAGAATCAGATGGGGCTGGCATGGGACAGCAGACACTGGTGCTTCACCACTGCTCTCCTTTCTGTAACAGCCATCCGTGACTTGTTGGACAATGCTGACAACTCAGTCTGTTCCCTGGCATTTCAGATGTTGTTGATCCTGGAAACTATACAGCAGCAGCCACCATCAGGATGATCCATCTGAACACTGTGCTGCTGGCTCTGTCATAGCAGGGAGAGAACAAGGTCTCCTGAGGATAACGGCTGCACGTGAACTAAGCTGGAACAACCAGCCCAGTCCCACGGCGTCCTTTGCACCCAGAGTGATGAGCAGTCAGCATCATTCCTGGCTTCTACTGCTGCCTGCAGAACAGCTCATCCTTCAGCACACCCTGGCCCCAGTTCTGTTTTACAAGTTTACCCCTTCTTTGCTTTCCCTTCAAAAGGAGCCATGTTTGTTTAGCCCTTGTGCAAATTTTTCTTTTGGGAGGCAGAGGGCAAATGGGAAATGGCACATGCCATCCGCCAGGCACTGGGACCAGTGTGTACCAGGGTCCCCACACCTGTCTTCCCAAGGGCTGGGAGGAGGCAGGGCATCAAATGCCCAGCAGCAGAGCTCCTCACCAACACTGACCAGCAGCTCCCTGCCTCTGGGACCAATCCCAGACCGTCTCCCTGAGGAACCTCTGCTCTGCCAGCAAGCAGCTGCCACTTCAGCAGGGAGAGGAGGCAACAGGCTGAGTCCCAGGATGGCAGGGATGTGCTGGCACCCTGCTTGTTCCAGCAGCAGCAGCACCGATGAACCTGCCGGGTTCCAGTCCCTCCTGTCACCTACACAGAGATATTGTTTTGAAGGACAGCAGCCTTTATTATTTTATTATTTTTAAGGACATCTTTAGCCTGACAGTTTTCTCTCCAGTGCCAGTTGAGTTTATCTCAGGCACCCAGAGGCTGTCACAGCAGCAGGTTATTGCCTGGTCCAGACCTACCCTGTTAGCACAGAGGTAAGGCTTTGGCAAGAAACCAACAACGCTTTAATGTTCTCCTTGTCTTCCTGTAAAGCCCTGCTGTACTTTACAGAGGAGCTGATCCTGGGCAGAACTGTCTTTCACAGGCAATTCCTGCTTGCCATGAGCTCACTCCATCCCAGGAGCCCAGACCAGCTCAGAAGTATAGGATCAGCCCAAGGTATCACTTTCTCTGCCCCTTCTGGGCTCCCTCAAGGTTTCTCTGGAGCTCACTAGATTAGTGAGGTATGGGTGTGTCCTTGGTGAGTCCACACTGGCAGTCTCTAATCACTCCCATGCCTGGAAGTTTGCAGCACAGCAGTTGAGAATAGTGTCACTTCTCAGGACAGATCTGTCCCAGTTCCATTTAATCCCTGCCCTCATTTTCTTGGCTTTGCAGCACTGAAGCACAGCCCTCAGGGAGGCTGAGTGTGAACAGAGTTGCTTTAGCATTCCTGGGCTATTTATCTTTGGTGTGCTAACCTTAAAGGTGCATTGGAGTGGAAGTGGGGATAAAGACTCCCTGCGTGCCTGCCCTCTCATAGCCCCACAGTAGCTGCAGTGAAGAGTGTGCTTTTTAATGTCAGTTATAATAAAATATTTTTACAGAGCCCAAAAAATTCAAAATAGTGCAAAACATCTCACTGTCATGCATCCATGGTAGCCGCCGCCAGCAGTGTCGCACACAGTGGAACAGACACACAGGCATCAGTGACACATGTGCTTCAGGAGAAGAATTTGTTGGTTCAATCACATGCCAAACAGGACAGGTTGGGAAGGGAGCAAAGGGCCAGGGGCACCATGGTTGGGGGGGCACAGGGCTGAGCCCCAACCTCACTGTGAGAGTGGTGGTTAGAAAAGGGCTGTAAACACTGAAGAATAACGAGAGAGGAAAGCTAACCCTTTGGTCCCAGGCAAACCCTATAGAAAAAGGACCACAGGGGCCAGTCAGCGTACCCTGTTTTGGAACGGAGAGGGACTTGAGAGAGATATATTGACTTGCGGGGTCATCAGGCCTCTGTCTTTCCCAGTACTTAGAGCCAGCTGGGGTGGGCCATCCCCAACACTCCACATCCCAACCTCCCAGGCACTTGCACAAAACACACACACACCCCACACATATCACACAGAAATGGTGGTTAATGGAAAATTGAGAGGCAAGGGGTCCTCTGGGCTGGGGATGGGAAGGGTCTTTCTTGCGCCAAGGAGGTCTCATGAGCACTGCTGCACTGCACAGGCATGGCTGACCCCCACTGGCCAGAGCAAAGGGAGATGGGTTCCTGTACTCCAGCACTTCCAGCCCTTGCCCCCAAGCCCTGGCACCCTGGGGGCGGCAGTGGGCAGCCCATGGTGGGGCAAGGCAGGGAAGACAGGATATGGGCAGGAGGCTAATCCCTGATGCTCTTGGCCCCAGTGGTGCCACTGCCACCCAGGAGGGGACCCTGTGCAGGGTATGTGGGGGCTGCACCCACCAACCCAACAGCCCCAATAGCCCTTCCAGGTACAGAACATGGCCAGCTGCCAGTGTATGTACAGCGATTTACATATGTACAGGGTGCTCAGTGGGTGGGAGCCTCCCTGTCCCCCAGGGTGCCTGAAGATGCTAGAGGGATTGGGACAAGGGGCCGTTCTGCTGTGCCAGCAACTCAATACCCCCAGGGGTGGGATGAGACACCCCTCCCACCTTCACTTCCAGCTCTTTCCTTTCATTGCCTGATGAGGTCTGGGTAGGACAGGGTAGGGTCAGGGATGGGCCACTACGGTTTCTCCATCTCAGGCACCCAAGTCTGGATCCCACCTTTCCCTGCAGCCCCACCAGACCCAGCAGCTTCCCACTGGGGTGGGGTGGTGGCATGGCCATGCTCTGCATCACTGCCACTCAGACAGTCTGGCTGAGGGAAGGATGGCGTGGGTCTGTCACTGCAGCCA